TAAACACTTCAGAAAAATCACCACTGTATACATAACACTGCTATAAGCATAAAGAATTACTTAATCACAAGTAATATAAAGATATGCTACTTTAAACAACATAATACTGCACGGCAACACACGGGGCTTATCTCTCTTCAACGACGTCTGACCAAAGACTACCGCGAGACACCTGTGGGCGATCTATTTATAGACTTAGGTAACATGGAAGGTCACCTTCAAATCATAAGACCATTGGTTGGGGTGGTCATCTGGTCTGAAACAATCAATCATCTCTCGATGGGAAATTTCTGAGTCTAAGACTCTCTTAGTAAGACAGCGGGAAAAAACCGGTTATTGCACCACAGACCATATATGGTATTATAACAAATGTCAAACTAAAAATAAAACATTACTAGACCTAAGTAGGTCACAGGGCTTCAACTGTTTTAATGTTAAATTGTGCTGGGAATACTATTACTACATACTACACTTTTCAGCTTTCAATCACTCGCATCTTATGTACACAGTAAGAAAACCAAATACATCAAAGTTTGCGAAATAATTTATTTATGCATATACAGCCAAACATGAATATATCAGGATTATTGCAATTATCGCCATTTGCAGATTCTTGTTTAACTATGGTAGATGGAAGTATTAGTTGCCTTTCACAACACTTTTCACTTCCTGAAACAAAACAATGATTTTCTTAAAAATCCATCTGAAATAATAACATTAGCAAAAAAAAAAAATCTTTAGTTTAATACATCAAAACAAAACAAGAAAAAAGTGATTTAATGGGATGAATCATGGCATAGATATCTATAAAGTTTTGCTTTAGTGATAAAGGGGGAAAAATTTAAGTTCTTTTAAGTGAAACATAAGCTAGAGAAATAAACTATTAGGCCTAATTTAAATAATTTAATTCCTTTCTCCCAAAACACTACATGTATCCCTAAAAAAAGGAAAACTTAAAATTTATCAATATTTACCTTGTGTATAAACTCTTCTGTACATCTACTGTATCAGCTTGACGCTCATTAGGTATGCCTAGTTCCTGTTGAGCAGTTAAGACAAATTAAGTAAATAATTCAAATTTGTAAGACAAACCACTAAATGATAATGTAAGATATATATATATATATATATATATATATATATATATATATATATATATATATATATGTATATATATATATATATATATATCCTGCCTGCAAATCAGCATATTTTGCAAAACAAACATTTAAAAAGATATAGAATTATTTATAAAAATACATATTGTATCAATCATCACAAATGACTTGGTCTTACTAGGTAAAATACTTTTTTAAATACAATCTAGATCTAGATTCTAGATTCTAGATCTAGCTAAGTCTATCATTTACTTACGAGGCACTAGGCATACTTTTAACTTTTCTCTCTAGTCAATAATGTAGATTTCTAGATTCTAGATCTAAATTTAAATCTAGATCTTGCAGATTTACGTAGGTTATACATCAGTGTAAATCGTTGATCAAGTAGATCTAGATCTAGAGGATCTAGATCTGGACTAGCTCTCGTCAAAACAAAATGGCTGGAATCTTCAGCTACATTTCTCGTTTCGTTTCTTTTTTTTAACCATAAAATATAGAGTCTTCGGAGTTTTGAGTTTTTTATTAATTCTCTACGACAGTCTCGTTTGAGACGATTGGAAGGGTCTTATTCTCATCAACACTGTTGGAGAGAAACTCAACGTTTTTGTCGTTGAGACAATACGCATGGGGTGCACTGAACTACTCTGTCTCATCTAACCCTACATGTGTTATCTCTGGCCCTCCAATTGGTTTGGGCATAAGCTAAGTAAATAATTGCTCTTTAAGATTATAAACCTGAAGTGACAGGACTACCTTACCACCTAGACGGGACAGGCCGTGCTTGTGTTGACTCATTAAAGCCGCTGTACAATAGTACGGCCTGTCCCGTTCAGGAAGTAAGGTGGGTTGGGTGGGATAAGCAAAGTGTACATAGCGTCAGTTTTTAGATAGCTGTAATAATATCTGAACATATATTTACATGTATTCTTTATTGAGAAATAGATTAAAGTAAGTTACAGAGGTATTATGGCAATACTTTTTTTTAGATGAATGGGGGTGGGCGTGGGTGGGGGTGGAGTTTTAACCACTTAACACCCTGCCTACGCCAATGCATGTAACAAATATTAATTGAGTAAATAATTCTTCTTTTTCTACCTCGTTCTTTATAAACTAGTATGTATGGATTCCCCCCCCCCTCCCCACAAACACAATAAGTGTCAATATTCTATACGCCATGCGTATTTTTTTCTTTCTTTATTTGCCTGTAACGCTTTTGTCTACACAGGGATTACAAGCAAAAGCTTAACCGGCCAGACAAGCCAATACCAGAATCGAATGTTTAAGACATATGTCTGTTGACATTCTGAAGACCAACTACCCTTAGTGGCTGAATTGATTTCAATAAACCGTAACTATTCAAATAAGGAAGGTAAACATATAATTTTTAGTTTGGCAGTGATTTGTTTGAGCAGAGAAAAAAAGAATTACGTGTCTATTTAATTTCATAAAATATATTTTTTTCTAGGCTCAAGTACTTTCGTGGAAAAAAATAAACACTGTTAGCTAAGATTTTTAAATATTATATTTGTAATATAACAACCTACCCTAACCCAACCCAATCTTATCTAACCAAACAAAACCAAACCGTCCCAAAAACCAAACCAAACAAACCCAACCAAACCCAACCCAACCAAACCCAACCCAACCAAACCCAACCCAACCCAACCCAACCAAACCAAACCAAACCAAACCAAACCAAACCAAACCAAACCAAACCAAACCAAACCAAACCAAACCAAACCAAACCAAACCTAACCTAACCTAACCTAACCTAACCTAACCTAACCTAACCTAACCTAACCTAACCTAACCTAACCTAACCTAACCTAACCTAACCTACCTAACCTAACCTAACGTAACCTAAACCAACTGCGTACAATATAATAGAGCATCACGACACTAGTCGATGTTTGATTTTGAAGGAGAAAATTTAGAATTCTAAATAATTTAAAAATATTTTTTCCTGCACTCATCTTACCTTGAAATTTACGTTAGGTAATAATGTAAACAAGATCAGGAAAAGTGTGCAAATATGTAACATACGAGTGTGCTTTACTTCACCTGTGTAAATATGCTTACGTTTGAATTAATATCTACCCACTATTTCAATATTTATTAGACGTCCAGAGGCGGACACCTTTTATTTGTCATTAAAAAAACTAAAAAAAAAACTCCTGTAGAGGTTTCAATTTTTTTCTAATTTAACCTTTTTAATTTTAACCTAATTTTAACCTAATGTAATTTTTATATATAGTGAAGAATAGAAATGCTCCCACCCCTTGCAAATTTTAAAAACTGTCGCCGGCACCTCAGCTATTGCGTGCACCGAAGCGCCCTGGGCTTCCCTGTTAACTACGAATCAGGCGCCCCGGCAGGTTGCGGTTTTGCGTCCTGGTCTTTCTCATGAGTGCAATGGCCCCAACGTTCGTTCTAAACAGTGCAATAGACAATGGATTAGATGGAGCGTCATAGTCGCTTGCCAATTTGAATAAGCACGTTCCTGAATGATGCTACCTGGCGCCCCAGACTATCGCGTTAGCGCTTGAGCGCCTACGTTCAGATGGGGTTTTAGAGACTTACAATGAACATAATCAAGTGCGTCCGCCGCCACACCAGCAGGGTACAATTTGTAGCCCTGCTCTATCATGTGAGCACGTTCGTTTTACGTAGTTCCCCACAATATTAACGAGCCGGCAAATGACATCCAATGGCTAAACCGAGCCACGTTACGTACGGGCACCCCTGCGGTAGTGTAATCGGGGGCTCACGATAGCGCCCCTCTACGTGCCCTACTCTTAGGCAGTTATTGTTACAGTGAAATTACTGTGAGTAATTAACGTACACTTAAGGCTTTCATTACGTCCTGATTCAATGTAGTTAACTACTATAATATTACATCTTAACCATATTCAATCGAACTGTTTAAAACGGGAAAGCCCAGGGAGATATACCGCACCCTGTGGAGCGCCGGAGGATGCACCTGATTCGATATAGTCAACGATTATTGTTGTCCATAGTGTCTTTAGTGTATAGCCTTTTTATAAAAACAAATGTAGGCGCCATAGTTCTCACAGAGGTGCTCAGGGCGCTTCGTTTTACGTAATCGCCGGGGCGCCGGCGGCTCCACCTTATACAGTTTTACCGCTGGATATAGTAGTACCCTTACCACGCTATGCATGACGCCCAATTAACGAATAACAAGTGTTAAGTTAACTGCTCTGGAACTATAGGTGCCAAACCGTATCTTAAACAAAATCGCACCATCTCAGGCGACGCCCATTAGAAATTTAAATCTTTTATCGCAGAAACTTTCGCAGGAGTATTCTCATCAACTTTACCAAGTTTCATAGCACTTGGATGAACGTAGTCGAACCACATTAGATTTTTATTTTTCTTATACCGTCCTTGTGAACTTAAAAAAGCCATTTTTGCAGAAATCGCCCCTGTGGTGTTCTCATCAACTCTCCAAGTATCATGGTGAACGAATGAACGGTGTCAAACCGGAATCGATTTTTAGTTTTTATACCGTATGTATAGAGAAAAATCTAATCGCGCCCTACTGGGGCGCCATCTTGCGAATTTGAAATTTTCTTTTGCCCAAAAACCTCCCCAGGAGTAATCTCAAATTCCCAACAACGTCCCAAAGTTTCATGGCGATCGGATGAAAGGTGTAATAATGCATACATACCATGCAGACAAATATACATACGTACATTGTATATATACATATATATAAATATATATATATATAGCCTTGAAAAAAACCAACAGTTTAAAATTACTTCTATATCGAGATTTATACGCCACTGAGTTGTAAATTCAGCACTACATCCTGGTAAAAGTAGTCACAGCCATACTTTATGCATCATTAAGTTGAGAAAAGTTTGAGCAGTCTGTTTCAGTATATATATATATATATATATATATATATATATATATATATATATATATATATATATATATATATATATATACAATTGAATGCTTTTGCTTTCTAGTTGGTGAACAAAAAATAAAATGCCGCGGAGTGTGTCTAAGTTGTTGAATTTTGAATTGCTATTATTATTGTCGGTAATCTTTTTCTTGCCAAAATGCAGTATAGCAAGCGAAGTAGACATAAAAGGACAACTCGCCCACCCAGAGGTCAGTAACTAACGATTCTTTCTGTTTTTTACTTAACTGTTTAGTAGGTTAGGCGTAGTACCAGGGAAACTGATTTAGCAACATGCTTTTTGGAAGTCCTTAGTTTTGTATTCAAACTGTTAAATGCTATCGATTTGTGTTTGTTATCAATTATGAAGGTAGGTTTCTGTTTATCAAGTCGTGATAATTTCATTTATAAATTTATAAATTTTATAAAAAAAAGAAATGCGACCCTTGACTTTACAAAAAAAAACCACATGATTTGTTAAAGCGCGAATTGACTGTGCTGTCGAAATAGATGCTTTATAAATAAAAGTGGAAATACATAACTATACAATTCAATTGTGAAATTAATAGAATCTTGTGGTCCTGTGTATGCCCCTTTTTGCATGCTAAAATTAATTATTAAATTTTTTTTCGAAACCCAATCTGTAAAATGCAATAAACATCCGACCGTCAGATGATAAATAATTCAGTTTTATTGCGCGCAATTTATCGTTATGGTTGTTTTGTTTTGGTCATTGTTGTCAGAGTTTCTTCCAGGCATCTCTTCTACCGCCCCCCCCCCCCCCCCCCCGAACGAAATGATATTTTTATAATTTATATAGAAAATATATACTTTTAACAGTATCCCCCCCACGAAGAAAGTCTATCGCCCCCCCCCCCCCCCCCGGAGAAAAAAAAAGTCTGGAAGAAACACTGGTTGTGATCAATGTGGCTGATAAAGTAGAGTTTCTCTGTTTCGCTAACCTCGTTCTATAAAGTGATAATGTCGCCACCTTTGCTTTCCCTAATATGTTTGAAGAACTTAGCAGACTCGGTCTAACGTAGTAATGGACAACGAACTTAAGACCAGAGTATAGCTTCAGAATTACAAAAACAAAACAAAAACAAGCAACGTTAACTACATGCATTACTTTCCCAAAAAGGTTATATATTTGTTTCTGTCCCACTATTATAGATTGCATGCTCAGAAGAGACTATTATAAACATGGAGTCATGTACGCACATAAATAAAGAGAAATTAGAATATGCACAGCATGACGGAAAGTATCTGCCAGAAGGAACAGTTTGTGAGATTAATGATGACAATGATGGATATACAACAGCAAAAGTAGTCGAATGCATACACGGAAAATGGATGTCAAGTGAATACAAAAATACAAAAATACTACATACATACATACATACACCTTACGCCTTACGCCTTACGCCTTACACCTTAACCTTACACCTTAACCTTACACCTTACACCTTACACCTTAACCTTACGCCTTACGCCTTACGCCTTACGCCTTACACCTTACACCTTAACCTTACACCTTAACCTTACACCGTACACCTTACACCTTACACCTTACACCTTAACCTTACACCTTACACCTTACACCTTACACCTTACACCTTACACCTTACACCTTACACCTTACACCTTACACCTTACACCTTACACCTTACACCTTACACCTTACACCTTACACCTTACACCTTACACCTTACACCTTACACCTTACACCTTACACCTTACACCTTACACCTTACACCTTACACCTTACACCTTACACCTTACACCTTACACCTTACGCCTTACGCCTTACACCTTACACCTTACACCTTACATCTTACACCTTACACCTTACACCTTACACCTTACACCTTACACCTTACACCTTACACCTTACACCTTACACCTTACACCTTACATCTTACACCTTACACCTTACACATTACACCTTACACCTTACTCCTTACTCCTTACTCCTTACTCCTTACACCTTACAACTTACACCTTACACCTTACACCTTACACCTTACACCTTACACCTTACACCTTACACCTTACACCTTACACCTTACACCTTACACCTTACACCTTACACCTTACACCTTACACCTTACACCTTACACCTTACACCTTACACCTTACACCTTACACCTTACACCTTACACCTTACACCTTACACCTTACACCTTACACCTTACACCTTACACCTTACACCTTACACCTTACACCTTACACCTCACACCTCACACCTTACACCTTACACCTTACACCTTACACCTTACACCTTACACCTTACACCTTACATCTTAACCTTACTCTTTACACCTTACACCTTACACCTTACACCTTACACCTTGTAACTTTTACCTTGCATCTTACACCTGACAACTCACACCTTACACACCTTGCACCTACAGCTTAAAGCTTACACCTTACAAATTACACCTCACACCTCACACCTCACACCTCACACCTCACACCTCACACCTCACATCTCACACCTCATATTTTACACTTTATGCTTGTACCTTACCCGTTCTTGTTTCTAGTCATTCTACCTTCACCTATAACTGAATCTGTTTTTCCCTTTGCTCTCGCTTCTACTTATTTTATTTTCACCTTTTTCTTTACCTATTTGTACATGTTTATGTACCTGTACATGTTGATGTATTTCTATTTGTACTTTAAGAACTATCTGTGAATATGTCCGCATCTGTATCTCTGTATGTATTAACCATTAATTGGACATGTATCTGTTTGTTTCTCTTGACAGTAGTACCACGAGTAATTCGAAATAGATTTTCAAGATACGAGCAGTTGAGAGAGTGATTTCAATTACGAGCAAAAATTTGAGATACGAGTAGTCGGATCCGTGTGTTTTAGAGTTCATTGCAAACAAAAATTTGAACTAGTTCAAACTGATCGTACATTAAGGCTATTTTGTGACTTTGTTTAACTAATTTCCGCAACATTCTGAAAGGGATTTAAAGCAAATCAAGTGAAAATGGGTAAATCGTGGCGAAAAAGTCAGAGAGTATCAGTGTTTCTTCCAGACTTTTTTCTCCGGGGGGCACTTGAAATTTTCGGGGGGGGGGGGGGGGGGAGGGGGCGGTAGACTTTCTTTGGGGGTGAGGGGGCGGACACCGTTAAATGTATATATTTTCTATATAAAATCCCCCCGAAGAGATGCCTGGAAGAAACTCTGGAGAGGATTAAAGAGAAAAGCGGTAACGAAAATTAAGCAAAAGTAACAATAAACTAGACTTACCCGGTCATCCCTTGGATAACTGTGGGTTTCGGGAGTCATCCATAAATGAAATCACATCTGTCACTTATAATCACAAAATAACCAGACCCCACATTCAAAAAGACGTTTTTTATCTTAACACCGATTTTGGCTGAGCATAGGTCTGACCATACTAACCCTTCATATACTGACGTCACAGGTGACTTACTCAATTCTACTTCACCTGCCCAGTGTTCCGCCAAATCTCAGACAACAAGTTTTTATCGTTTAAAAAAACGATTCCGGCCTAGCATGTCTCTGACCACACTATCCCTTCATATGCTTAGGACAAAGAAACAGATGAACTCTATTTCACCAGCCCTGTATCCTGCCAAGTTCAGATAGGCAACTTTATCATTCACATCTAAAAAAAAATAGAATTTTTTTTTTAACATTGACATGATGTGTCAAGAACCCGTGCCGCCCGCATGAAAGCCTATTACACTAACAACTTAGCTATCTAGACTCGTGACGTCACTGATGTTTTTTGTGCTATATAATAATACTTTGAGTCTTCTTACGCAAGTTGATTTACGCGCATCTAGATCTAGATCTAGTAACTTTCAAATTAAATTTTATCTTAAATTAGCCAATTGCATCGCTAAACAAACAAAGATTTATATAAAATAATAAAGGGCTGAAATAGTTTACTGTAGAAACTCATTATTATCTAGATCTAGAAAGAATTATCTAGATTCTACAGCTGGTTTGCTTAAGTCTAGTTTTTATTTTTGCGTAACTCTTGCTGGCTAGATTCTAGATTAGACCGAGTCTATTCTAGATCTAGATAGATAAATCACAAAGATTTATACCAAGTATGTAAAGACTAAAGTTTAATAAAGAAACTCAAAAATGTAATATGACTTTAAAATGGTTTGTATTTTTAACTAATTAATCTTTGGTTTGACTTAGATTCTAGATCTAGATCTATAAATAACTTTCTTGGACAGATTGTAGAGCTAGAGAAAATGTATTGTAAAACTAAATGAAAAAGACAGTTGAAAGTTAATTTAAGTGTTGGAACGTAATAAATAAAGCAAACGGACGTATTGTTAAAGTTAAAGCCGACAGAAAATTAGCTTTATAACGCGTTGAAGATCTGAATAGGCTACCAAATATTGTATTGGAGCCGCCATTTTATTATACTAAAAAGTAAACAAATACATGTGACGTCACTTTTCCCAGAAGTAAAGTCAATGTTTGAAAACTTTAAAATTAACGTGGTTAATCTACCTATAAATAAATAAATTAATTAATTAACGTCTTTAAATAAATTTGTGATTAACAGTCTGTCTAAAAAGAAAAAAATGTTCTCTACCTACATAGTATTTTACAGCTCTCTATATAGCGTAGATTCTCTACAGTACGAAATCAGACAAACAAATAAATATTCAAACAAATAAACAAACTTGAGGTTTAGTAGTATAGAGATTATCAAGTAACATTTAAGGTCACTGTGTTTAGTGAATTTTAGTTGTTTAATTAAGCTTAGGGATAACCTTTAACATTAAAGGTGCAACGTTAAGGTGGTCGTCCATAAATGACGTCACACTCGTAGGGTGGTTCCGTAATTTTGTGGCGATGTGTGATGAGGGGGAGAGGGGGAGAGGGGGGGGGGGGGGGGTTAGATGATGCGACGTCACACTTTTGCATTATAAGAAAGCAATGTTAGAAAAAGAATTTTAGACGATATTTCACGTTTTAGAAAACTGTTTTAATAAATTGTAATAGGAATTGATTAAAATACTGTATTTGAATGAGGTCAGACAAGATTATAGAAAAAATATCGATGTTTTAAAAAAATTCAGCTGTAATTTTGAAGGGGGTTGTAGGCTGAGGTGTGACGTCATTTTAGGGGAGGGGTCTGGCTTTTTGTGACGGAGGGGAGGGGGTGGGGGTAAAAATAGCTAAAAAAAGCGTGACGCCATATATGGATGACCCCTAAGTTAAATAAGTGACCAAAAGAGTTTAGCATTAACAGTTTATAGAGTAAGTGAACTAAATAAAGCTCATTCACCCTCCACCTCCCCCACCCGCTCCAATAAGCTTTAGTAAGCCGATTTCTAAAGAATATTAACTTTATAAAACCAGTTTATTTCTTCACATTTTCCTTTATTATGTTTTTATACAAAATTGTTATTTAAAAACGCATTTTTAAAAATGAAAAATACGTAACAATAACAGGGGGGTTAATAATTAGGAGGCAAATAGGAACGGATGAATACCATTTCATATACTTTCAATGCAAAAAACTGCTTTGAGAAACGAACAATGTAACATAAGAGCAATGTTTTGGAACAAATTAAACTCGTATCTCGATGTACCACTGTAGCTATATTTTGTATTAATAATTCTATCTATATCTCTCTTACAGTTACAGATTCTGATCCCAATAGCCATCACAGACAAAAACGTGTAGTAGGGCTAATTCTGTTTGGTGTACTCGTAATTGGCGCTATATTATGTTTTATTTTTTGTCGTCGGAGAAGTAAGTATTTTTTGTGTGTACTAGTTTTTAAATTTTAAATTTAATAGATTTTAAAATATATGCCAGAAATATTTAGTGGACAAATTATTAGAACTTCGATATCTTGATAGGAAAGCAAATACCAAAATTATGTTAACGCGATCTGTAACACGCTAACGTAATTGAATAAAATGTAACTATTTTAAGGTTATCTTCTGCGTTTAAAACTGATTTATCTTTTAAGAAATAAAGCGGGAGTGATCTACCCTAAACTTTCTCGAATATTCTTTTATTACACTATAGAGGATGTCAACTCGGGATATAGACATGATTTTTAATAACTTAAACTTTTAAAAATAGTATAGAATCACGTAGAAAAAAATGGCGCACTACGAGAACGGAAAACAATATGCGTATAATAGTGCAGAATATTAGTACTTTATAAATTCATATTCGATTTTGAGAAATTGGAAATAGGGTAAACTACTACTTCCGGTAAACATAAATTACTCAAAATTAAACATAAGGCAGATAAATAAATCTTTTACTTATATGTGAAATTTAATTTATCTATCTGAAACAGTCGGCCTATTCAAGTTATAGGCTTTTGAAAAATTAAAAGTAGAATAAGTTCAACTTCCGGTTATCGGAAATGGGTAAAAGTTGATAAAGAACTATAAATTTGACACAATACTTGTATATGAAATTCCATCAACCTAGCTGTAACGGTACTCAAGTTATCGTGTTCACAGACACACATACACACGGACAGAATTTCAAAGCCTAATGTTTCCGACTCGATTTCGCGTACAACGCCGATATTTTGATAAATCTCGATTTAGAATTTTTGCCCGATTAAAATAAGTCACCAATACATCGTATACGATGAAGTACTGAGGTGTAAAACTGCGAAAACTGTCAAAATTCCATGTGATTTTTGTGCACGATTACAATATTTCCTCTTTTCTCAGTATACGGCAAGTGAAAATATGACAAATAATTTTATTCCATCATTTAACTGGTTTTGAACTTTCCGGGAGTTTTTATTTAGCTTTTTTTTATTAACGATTTATGGTTGCTGATCTTATAATAAAAAAAAAACCTGGAGGATGAAAGAAAATAAAATAAAAAAAAACACCAAAAAAAAAAAACCCACGAGAAGTCAAGTTCCAATCCTGAATAGATGCATACTGGATAGAATAACTGCATTTTTAATGTCTCTTGACACATGACATTTTTTATTCATTTAGGAGAACCGCCACCGAACAGAATACCAACAATAACATGTCCAACTATAGCTTCACCATTGTATACGCCGAAGAACAAAATGTCCGTGTTGGTTTCGTGGAAAGAACCTGAAGCCAGAGATCCAGATGGGGATAAAGTAAGGTAAAATATATTTCACAAAATACTCAAAGCTATTCTTTGAATATAATGCAGATGACTTAAAAGTGAAAAATCAACATTAGGATTAAAGACATCAGTAGACATTCGTTTATAATTTTTTTATAATTACAATCAGAAAGTTTCAGAAGCCTCCAGGAGGTATTATAGGAACTACTAGGAGATATTTTAATTTTTCAGTTAAAAAAATACTTTCTTTTTTATGTCCAGACTAGTGGAAGATGGCATTACATTAAAAAAAAACAAGAAAAAAACATGCAATAAAACAAATAAAACCAGTGTCGATAGAACATCTAGAGTTGCAAAATATTTAGTTACTCTAATGATATTATAGTTAAATAACTATTCAAAGCGGTATGTGTGGTCAGGCCAGTTAAGCTGATGGATGCTAGACTGAAAAGTCCCATTTTCGATAGGATGAGGCTCGATATCTTGGGACAGCAACCCGACTAATAGAAAAACTCCAAAATAATACACCTACTGCCTTGTAGCGAGTTTTTGGAAAAGACACAATAACAGAAGCACATGCTGAAAGAAAAGCAGGGTTAAATCGGTGTCAACAGCCTATGTGACATATAAAATCTTCACGCGTAACACTTAGTTGTGTTAAATAAAATCCCCATATTTCAATTGGGAACGAAGAATAATAATTTTATATATATATATATATATATATATATATATATATATATATATATATATATATATATATAATTATATATATATATGATTATAGTGTTGCTCAGACGCAAGGCCTGTCGTCTGGAACTTATTTCCTGGAAGGTACTCATAAGGTAACCTACATTGCTAAAGACAATAGAGGAGGGATGGCTGATTGCAGTTCAATGTTTACCGTTATAGGTAATAACCATCTATTTAAAAAAAAAATTAAATTGCTTTTTTTACGGATGTCATTTGAATTTAAAAAAAAATGTTTTCCTTATATTTAAGTCAGGAGTTGTTCGAATGAGTACACGAATTTAAAAAACGGGAAAGTCTCATGTCAGCCTCAACTGAACAACTATAAGCCTATATTCGGATCTGAGTGTGAATATAAATGTGATGATGGATACGAAATTAGTGGATCTTCGAATGCTCAGTGTAATGAAAATCAACAATGGTCTGTACAGAAACCCTTCTGCAGAGGTAAAACTTTATCCTTCATTGTGTGTGGATTTATATTTTAAAACACATATTCCGAAATACTTATGCAAGAGAGTATTCAAATACTCCGCCATAAACTCAATTAATAACGCAGAAGGAAAAGAAGAAATCGTTTTCAAATATTATAATACTTTCGTTAAAAACGGTTTAAATTTTTTTAACATAAATTATATATATACACACATATATATATATATATATATATATATATATATATATATATATATATATATATATATATATATATATATATATATACATATATATATATATATATATATATATATATATATATATATATATATATATATATATATATATATATATATATATACATATATATATATATATATATATATATATATATATATATATATATATATATATAAATTAGCTATAGCATGTGCTGCACCACCAACAGTAGAAAACGGTAAATTTACCGGTTGTCTTGGAGGCTACCCATATATGTCTAAATGTATCCTCACCTGCAAAACCGGTTACGTCGTTGATATAACAGACACCATTAGATGTCTTTCAAATAGATCATGGACAGTACCTGGCATATGCAGAGGTAATAATTTTTAATTAACCTAAGTATTTTTGTCGCCTTTTACATCAAATTCATCTCAGACATTATTAGGTTATTATTTAGTTATTATTAAGTTATTACTACAACACTTACATTAAATACAATAGTCTTCTCACACGTTTCGTAAAAGCAGTCACAATATAATCACCTAATTCAGAGATCTGTTTAAAAAAATAAATGGATCCAGGCCACTGCGTAACAGGGCCACCCTCGAACCTCGGCCGCCACAGACCATATATGGTATTATAACAAATGTAAAAATAAACATTACCAGACCTAAGTAGGTCACATCCCCTCCCTTTTTGAAAGTGGCAGATAGGTTCCACAAAAACATACATAAGGAACCAATCTGGCATAAAATAAAATGTTCTACAAATGTAGTGAACCAAAATCTTAATACCAGGTGAAAACATCCCTGGAAATAAAAGGGAAGTAACTTAATCTGTTACAATTCGTGAAAGGGGAGTAACCCTTTAAAAAAATAATAATACATCAAAGTCCCTCAGAAAGGGGTATTACAATATTTCCATGTGGAACTATAAGTGGTAAACCCGACAAGGTAAATCCTTTATTTCAATGACTAGCTACAATATCAACTGAGTCATATGAGACATATTATCATAAAAGATTACATATAATGAAAAACCACCTTTAAATAAGGTTCACCTGAAAATAAACAAAATATTCAACGTGATTGTAATTTTGAAAAAACAATTCAAAACTGAGACTACTCACATTCATGTGAGTGTCACCCAAACAAACTACTTGTTATATGGTCTTAACTAACCACAAAACATGTCACATGATCAATGTGGGTAATAAAATTTTACATCCTTGACAAACAGTCAGCCACAACATTATCAGTTCCCTTAATATGGGAAATTTCCAGATTAAAATTTTGGAAATATAAACACCATCTCAATATTCTGTGATTCTTTTGTCCTAACTTAGAGGTAAATTTAAGAGGATCATGGTCAGAAAATACCATGACTGGATTGATAGAAGAAGTGACATAGACTTCAAAATGTTGTAAGGACAAAACCAAAGCTAAAGCTTCTTTTTCAATAGTGGAGTAATTTTTTTGGTTCTCATTTAACTTCCTGGAAAAAAAAGCGATTGGATGGTCAATCCCCATGTTGTCTTCCTGAAATAAGACTGAGCCAATGGCTAAGTTGCTAGCATCAATGGCAAGTTTAAAAGGCTTGCTGAAATCTGGTGCAGCCATAACAGGAGCATTGGATAAAAATGACTTAATGGTTAAAAAAGCTTCATGACATTTAGTTGACCATTCAAACTCAACACCCTTTTTCAATAAGGCAGTAAGTGGTTCAGCTACAGCTGAAAAGTTTTTACAAAACCGCCTGTAGTAACCTGCCATCCCAAGGAACTTTTTGATTTCTTTACAATTTTTGGGAGGAGGCAACTGCACAATAGCATCTACTTTAGCTTCAATGGGCCTAACTTGGTTAGTTCCCACTTGATAACCCAAATAGGTAATTGAACCTTTACAAAAATCACTTTTATGCAGGTTTACAGTAAAATTAACTTCAGACAATTTTCTAAAAAGGTCAGTCAACTGAACAATATGTTCTTCAAAAGTATTAGAAAATACTACTATATCATCTATGTAGGCCTCACATTGGTCTATGTCAGCAATGACAGAGTTAATGACCCACTGGAAGGTTTGACCAGCATTTCGCATACCAAAAGGCATACGTTTGTATCTATAAAAACCATTAGGGGTTACAAAAGCAGATATTTCTTTTGCACGGTCAGATAAGGGGATTTGCCAGTATCCTGACAGTAAATCAATTTTGGAAATAATCTTAGCTTGACCAACTTTATCAATAACGTCCTCTATTCGAGGTAATGGGTAGGAATCAGCTTTGGTGAGCGCATTGACCTTCCTAAAGTCGGTCACAAACCTGAAAGATCCACCGTCTTTCGGGACTAAAAGGCAGGGGGAACTCCAATTGCTGAAACTGGGTTCAATGATATCATTCTTGATCATGTAATCAATTTCATCTTTTATCAAAACAGCTTTTTCTGGGTTAACTCTATAGGGGTGTTGTTTGACAGCCTTTGCATCTCCTACATCTACATCATGAGGTGGTACCTTTGCTTCTTTGGGGACATCCCCAAAAATAGATGGAAATGTCTCAAATAACTGAGACAATTTATGGCTTTCCTCAGTGGACAAATGCATAAGGTGGTCATTTAAATGATCTAAAAAGGAAGAATTTACCAATTTTGGGGGTTTCAGTTTATCATGTATCACATCATCAGAAACATTTGAACACACAGGTAAAGTAATTTTAGCTGTGGAATGAAAATTGCTACAATTATCATAATACTTTTTCAGTGAGTTAACATGATACACTGTCTGTTTCTTTATTCTGTCTGGCGTATTGACAACATAGTTCAAATCACTTAATTTTGAATGCACCTTAAAGGGTCCACAATATCTTAAGGATAACGCATTGTTCAGGTTAGGCACGAGCACAAGAACTTTCTCGCCTGGATTGAATGTTCGTTTACGAGAACTCTTATCATACAGTCCTTTCATTCTCACTTGGGCCTTTCTTAAGTTCTTGTGAGCCAATTCGCACACCGCTTTCAATCGAACGTGAAAATCGTCAAAGTTCTCCACTGGATGGTTACTGGTATCTGTCCAAAGCTCGTGGATCAGCTTCAGGGGACCACGGACAGAATGTCCAAACACAAGCTGAAAAGGAGAGTAAAATTCCTGAACACAGTCTCTAGCGGCGAAAATAATCCATGGAACAGTTTCATCCCATTGGGTGTTACTTTTAGCGAACGTTCTCAGCATGGTTTTCAGTGTCTGGTGAAACCTCTCAAGTACACCTTGAGACTGAGGGTGGTAAGCTGAGCTGGTGACGTGGGTGACGCCTAGCTTGGCTAGCGCTTCCTGAAAATGGTGGCTGGTGAAGTTGCTGCCTTGGTCTGTTTGAACGATTCTAGGTAACTCAAAGGTAGTGAAGAACCGGGTCATGGCTCTGACTACAGTCTTTGCCTTAATGTTCCGTAAGGGGAACGCCTCGGGAAAACGGGTACTTGAACACATAAAGGTAAGTAGGTACTCGTTGCCCGCCTTAGTTTTAGGCATGGGACCTACGCAGTCCATGATGATTTTGGAAAAGGGTTCTTCTAACACAGGAATCGGACTCAAAGGGGCCTTAGGAATTTTCTGGTTTGGCTTCCCGGCCAACTGACAGCTCGTGCAACTTTTGCAGTAACGCGACACATCATTTTTCATCTTTGGCCACAAAAACAGTTCTTTGATCTTCGCCATTGTTTCCGTGACTCCTGGGTGCGCTGACATCGGATGGTCATGTGCCAGTTTCAGTATTTCATGCCGATAAGGTGGAGGGACCCACAGCTGGTTTTTACCCAACCATGGTTCGGCAGGTGAGGCATCCACTGGTACAGAGCGACGAAAGAAGAGGTCGTTCTCGGAGAAATACTCCCCGTCGTCAGCTGAGAGAGATTTTTCGACCATTGCTTTGAGTTCCGCGTCGACTTGTTGAGCTTTAATGATGTCTTCCTGAGATATCCTCAGGGGTAAGCCCAGGCTTGTGTTCTCTGGAAGCATAGACTCCAGTTTGGGAGATGGATTCCCGACGATGATGGTAGGTGTGGTTCATGCGCTATGTCAGCCAATTGTTTGGTCTGGCTTCTTGTCACCACACATGCAGGATATAGTTCATTATCATTATCTGGAACTGTTGACAAAGGGTTTTGAACCGTATAGGGGTATACTTTGCTTCCCGCAAGGTCATTACCTAGAAGCAGGTGTACTCCTGGGACAG